TCTTTTCTGGGGTGAGGGAGGGGCTCAGGTCAGGGAGCTGCCAGGCCAGGGCTTGATCCCCAGTAGGGGGTGTGCAGGAGGCAGCCAATCGATGTTTCTTTCTCACTGATGCTTCTCTATCCCTCTCTCTGAAATCAATAAAAAAACATTAAAAAATAAAAATAAATAAATTCAATAGCTCTGACCGGTGTGGCTCTGTTGGTTAGAGCATCACTCTTGCACCGCAGGGTTGCAGATTCAATCCCCAGCCCTGCTCCGGTGCATTCAGGGTGATTCATGATGTGTCTCTCTCACATCAATGTCTCTCTCTCCCCACTTCTCCCTCCCTTCCTTCTATTCTCTCTAAAAATCAATGAAAAATATATCCTTGGGTGAGGATCAACAAAAAGTAATGCATTTAATGATTATGAGAATGTTGGTTTGTAGAAAGCACTACTTCAGTTAAAACAAAACAAAAAACTCATAGACACAGACAACAGCCTGGAGATCACCAGAGGGGAGGGGCGGGGGCAGCAGAAGAAGATACAGAGGGATAAATGGCGATGGAAGGAGACCTGGCTGGGGTGGTGAGCACACAGTACAGCATACAGATGATATATTATAGAATTGTACACCTGCAAGCCATGTAATTCTACTAAACCAGTGTCACCCCAATACATTAAAAAACCCCGAACTCTTAAAAAGTACACCTTCTGTCCTAACCGGTTTGGCTCCGTGATAGAGCGTCAGTCTGTGGACTCAAGGGTCCCAGGTTCCAGTCTGGTCAAGGGCATGTACCTTGGTTGCGGTTACATCCCCAGTAGGGAGTGTGCAGGAGGGAGCTGATCAATGTTTCTCTCTCATCAATGTTTCTAACTCTCTATCCTCTCCCTTCCTCTCTGTAAAAAATCAATAAAATATATTTTTTTAAAAATAAAAAGTACACGTTCAGGGAAGGTCAATGGGGAAAAGAGACATATGTACTTCTATCTATAATACTTTAAACAATGAAATAAAATTTTTAAAAAAGTACACGTTCTTCTTTTTTATTAGAAAGAGAAAGCCAACAGCCTAGCCGCGAGGCCCGGAGGCTGAGTGTTGACCTATGAACCAGGAGGTCTCAGTCCGATTCCCCGTCAGGGCACATGCCTGGGTTGTAGGCTCTATCTCGTGCGGGGTGTGCAGGAGGCAGCTACTCAATGATGCTCTCTCATCATTGATGTTTATCTCTCTGTCCCTCTCCTTTCCTCTCTGAAATCAATAAAAATATATTTAAAAAATAAATGAAAAGGATAAAGCCAATAAAATCAAATGAGGGGCCTTCTGGCTCAGCAGCAGAGTCCAGGAGGCTCCAATCTCTCCGGGAACAGGTGAGGGGAGTGCAGTGCTTTGGAGAAGGCCTTACTGTGATCAGTCATGCCCCCTGGTGGTCGATGGATGCCTAACCAGAAAGGGGAGGGAGAGCAAAGGAAAGATCTTGTAACCCACTCAGGGACCTGCTGTAGAGATGGCAACCTACACCTTCCCACACCCACGACATTAAACCAACACCCTAACCCTCCGACACAAATGTGGCTGATGTCACGTGGCACCGCCACCCAACGGCAGCACTCGCTGTGGGACTGGCCTCTGGTGGTTTTTACCCCTAACATATTGGCTAAGAAATGGCCAACACACCAGGCCGCATAACATGAAATTCCGAGTTGTCTGGGAGGGGTTTTCTCGCTCTGTAACGTGCTGCTGATTACAGGAGTGAACGTGGGTTCCACAAACACCCAGTGGCCGCACTGCCTACGGATTCCGGACAGGACACAAAGAGGCATCCAGTTGGGGGCGGGGGAGAGTTTCATTTATGGCTTTCTGAGCCCATCGAGGGCCTGGCCTCGTATTCATAGCGCTGTACAGGGTGTCTACATTGCACGCACGCAACACGGTCCAGCTGCCGCCGACCATGGCTCCCTGCTTGCCACTGAGGGGCGGGGGGTACGGCAAAGTTTTGAGTGCTGGATATAATTTAGTAACTGGACTAATGAAAGCACGTTTACTATTGGGTGAAAGAGATGGAAACAGTGATGAGAGAGAATCTTTGATCCGCTGCCTCCTGCACACCCCCCATTGGAGATTGAGCCTGCAACGCAGGCATGTGCCCTTGACTGGAATCAAACCTGGGACCCTTCAGTTTGCAGGCCAATGGTTTATCCACTGAGCCAAACTGGCTGGGGGATATATATATAATATTTGTTTTTTAAAATGTATTTTTATTGATTTCAGAGAGGAGGGGAGAGGGAGAGAGAAACATCAGTGATGAGAGAGAATGGTTGATCAGCTGCCTCCTACAAAACCCCTACTGGGGATTGAGCCCTAAGCCTGAGCATGTGCCCTGACCGGGAATCCAACTGTGACCTCCTGGTTCATAGGTTGATGCTCAACCCCTGAGCACGCCGGCTGGGCTCAGCATTTTTTAGAAGAAGGGCCTTTGCATTGAAAGGCTGTGACCACTGGTGACAGAGAAGGATAAACACAGACACTCCTAACTGCGCTGGGGGCTCCTTATCCGTCGCGAGGGGACCGCGAAGGGCAACTGTGGCCTGAAGAACAATCTGTGATATTTCAGCGCCACCACAAGTGACCCCAAAATGTCATGGTGTCACCGCCAGCCCAGCAGCACACACTTTCCCCATCAGCTCCACTGGGCGTTTGAAACAAGGAAATGGAAGACAAGCTTTATCTGAGGGGCCACCACCAAAGTCACACTGTTAACGCTGAAGTCTGGTTTCTCACCCTGGGATGCGGCCCCTGAGCCCCGCAGTTGCTGAGGTCGGGACGCATTCAGACATGAGAGCAACAGGAAAGGTCTAGAACCCACCCGCCCACACGCTGGCAGGGCCCCAGGGCTCCCGCCGCCACTCACGTCATGTAGGTGAAGAAGGTGCTCAGCGGCTCCAGGGAGTGGTTCCGGAAATACTCGAACTCTCCGCACAGCTTCCTCCTCATCTCCGTGTCGATTTTGGAAACAGTGAGAGGATTCGTTTGATTAGCCAAGAAGTTGCCGTAATCTGTGGTCTGCAGGTGAACTTTCAGATCTGAAACCCAACGAAACCCAGAGCGGTTAGCGGTGAACACACAGGAACAGCCTTTGCGGTCGTCACTGAATTTATGCGAGCTTTATGCGGACACATAATTATTATTACCTCACAGCCCACGGCCTGAGGTCTGTGCATGAGTGAGACCAGTGGGTTTCTCTAAAGCAACCCACTCAATATCGACATGGGTATTCTGGTACAACACTCATGTTCAGTGACCTAAGAGTCCAGGACTCTTAGTGCGGCCGGAGAACATTGATGCCCACCCAGCGAGAGATGGCCAGGAGCTTCCCCG